TAATCGAGACAAAAGCCTTGTTTGGGGAATTGAGCAATGTGAAGGAAGTTGGTGAAAATGTGAGATTTAACCTTATGATTTTGGTGGTTAAATGTTGGTCATAAGTCAATGTGTGAGGAATTGAGAGGTTGAAGTAAAGAATCGTAAGTAATGATAGTTAATTAAACTAATATTTAGTTGGACTTGTTCCAGATAATTATTCTCAAAATAAATAGTTAGGGAGTGGGGCATTACAGATTATGCATATTTCGCCATGTTATATATATGTATATATTGGTAAATGCTATGACATGGTTAAGTATTAGATTGCATCATGGGATATCCATGTGTATACTACCTGTAAGTAATTACTGTGAATGCTTTGAAGTGCGAAGAGGAACGCAGGATGTACAGGTAAATTCAGGTGAGTTTATGGTGTTACTTGTGGCATGACTATATTTATGCTTTAGGCAACTCCGACCTTGTCATACAAGTTGTAATAATAGGCAACTCTGACCTTGTCGTACAGGTTGCAATGACAAGCAACTCCTACACTGTAGTACAGGTTGCCCATGAGTCGTACATGTTATAATAGATGCAATTAGAGCTCATAAACCTGCACCATGGTGTTAGTGCTCTCGTCTGTGGCCAGTGATAGGAGCATATTTAGGCGACTTACTTAGCTTGTTTTCGTGCATTTATGTTGTTGTTTCTTAGTTCTTTAAGTGTTTTAAATCATTTTCGTATAATTTCAGGTTCTAAGGGCTAAAGGAGCAAAGAAGTGCATTTTGGAGCCTTTTGGAGCATTTTTGGGCCAAGAATGGATAGCTTATGCTTGGAGCCAAAGTGTTGGACAAAATTGAAGCTTTGTGTGCACTTTAGAACATAAAACAAAGGGCCTAGCCCAATCAAACAAAGCCTTAGAACCAGAAATTCCCATGCCAACACATAAACAAAGCCCTTTGACATGCATCACATGCATTTTCATCACATTCTCACACATGCATTCACACACATTTACACAAACAATGAGTAAATGCCGTGACTTCCCCTTCATTCCACCTAACACACATGCATTCACACACATTTACACCTAACACACATGCATTCACACACATTTACACCTAACACACATGCATTCACAGACCAACAACAATTCCTTGCCGTGAGTTCCTTACAATTTCAGCATGCATTCACATACATTTTCAGCTACATATTCACCCACTTACACTTTAAATCATTTAACACATGCATTCACACACCAACAACCATTTTGTGCCGTGCATTTCATTACCTTTCCAGCTTCTTTACACAAAACAACATGCATTCACACACAAAACAGCATGCATTCACACTCATTGCCGTGCATTTCATTACCTTTCCAGCTGCCCATTCATTTCCAGCTCTAACTCTTCATCATTGCAGCCACAAACACATTAAACAAACATCCATTCACATCTCCACTCCTCCTATAAATACCCTTGCATTCCATTCACCAAATCATCTCATTTTCCATTGCAATACACAAACACTTCCCCTTCCATTTCTGTGCAGTTTTTCTCCTCCATTGCAGCCACTATCCAACCACTTCCCATCCCTCAAAAACACTTCATACCATCACACAACCTATCCTTAAACCTTGTGCTACAACAACGAGGAAGAGAAGAGTGCCTAAACGTTCATACAATTCAAGTTTTGAGTTGTTGGAATGTTTAGGTGTTTCTTTGATTTCAAAGTTTCATTTTAATTCTCTTTGTTTTGTACGTATAAGGAATGGAAGAGAAGAGTGCTTAAACGTTCATACAATTCAAGTTTTGAGTTGTTGGAATGTTTAGGTGTTTCTTTGATTTCAAAGTTATGAGGAACTAAACCCCCTTTAGCTAGGGGGTGATTCGAAACTATGTTTATATTTGCAATATGAATTGATTAACTTTCGTTGGAATTTCATAAGTTGTGGATTCAATTTGTTTAACCGTTTGATTGATAACTTATTTATGAATGTTTATTAAGAATGCGCGCTTAATTTTCATGCATAAATATGACACTAGAATATAAGTGAATTTCACCTAATCGTTATGAACTTATATTCACAAGTAGTGGAGGTTGCTTATAAACAATCGCGTTAAATGAATTCTTGGCATGAGTTTCATGCTCATCATAGTAACGAATGCCTCGTCAACACTTATAGTTTTCATAATGCTTAATGATCTTTGATTGTATCTTTATTGTGATGTTCACGTAAAGGACTTTTGGAGAATGTTGTGAATTGCGTTGCGCAAACCCATCCAATTCATTAACTTAAGGAAAACTTGACGGTTAATTTAAGCGGACCTAATTAATCCGGAGTGTTGAGTTTCATAATTTATCGAAAGACCAACTGAGAATCAATCTTGTATGCATGTATAACATGTGTGGAGAAGAACCCCTTAGCTAGCCTTCATTCCATTCATTCCATCACAAATTCATATTTACATTCCGCTTAGTTTATTAACTTGTTTTGTTATTTCAATTTTCGTCAAATCAAAACTTCCCCCCCCTTTACTTTCTTGTTCTTTAGTGCTTAGAATCTGTTTAGTTTATGTTTTAAAGTATTTTGAATCAAGCCATAATCTTAAATTCGTCCAAAATTAGTTTTGAGTCTTTTGGTTTGTCTTAATGTTTTAAATTTTAGTTTTGCATTCTTTGAGTCTAGTTTAGTGTTTTATATTGTTTTTATGTTCTTAAGTCAATTTAGAAGGTTTTAGCAAGCCCTCCTAATCCCCGGTCTAGAACGATCCCTCACTTATCCATTCTACTACATTGTCAAACGAGGGTTTAATTTGAGTGTCAAGTAAATCTCGCATCAGCCAGGGCATAGTCCTTCACGTGATGTTCACCTCCCACACCTTATGCTCACCTTGGATCCAAGGTGGGTGCATAGTTCTGTCGTACAGACCAGTACAGGTGGTTCCGACTCGTAGGTAACCCGCGATTATTCACATAGTCTTCACATGATCGTAGCACTTGAGCGTACTTATTTACACCCAGTCCTGTTGTACAAACCACTAGAAGTGGTTCCAACTCATGTGTAGGGACATGTGATGAGCTATGGGTCCAGCCGTATAGGCCACGAGAGGTGGATCCAGCTGACATATTATTTGGATATGTGATGCACTATGGGTTTAGCCGTACAGGCCACGAGAGGTGGATCCGGTTGACATATTACTTGGATATGTGATGAGCTATGGGTTTAGCCATACAGGCCATGAGATGTGGATTCGGCTGACATATTACTTGGATATGTGATGAGCTATGGGTTTAGCCATACAGGCCATAAGAGGTGGATCCGGCTGACATATTACTTGGATATTGATTGATGAGATATGGATGAGTCGTACAAATCACTACAAGTGACTCCAACTTATGTACTAGCCTTGATTGATGAGATATAGGTGCAGTCGTACAGGTCACCATAGGTGACTCCGACTTACGTGCTAGTATAGGTTATTAAGCACATGATTATTTATATTGCTAATGAGATGTTGTGTCGTGGTATACTTCTGGATTTGCTATTAGTATACTTTTGATTTCATACTTATACGTAGTATGATTTTCTAGAAACTATATAGGTTTTACAGCGAGGGGTTACTACCTTTGATAATTGAAATGATTTTGAAAATCTTTGTGTTTCTCACTCACACTTTCTATTTTTGCACCCCTCCAGGTTCTAGTAGCAAAGTTTTGTATCGATGAGGAATTGTGACACTCCCCAGTTCAGGTGGCTCCTTATGATAGTATAATTATTATCTTACCTCACTGTACTTTTCTTATGCTCTGTATCACGCGTGAAATGGGTCCAAAACCGCTCACCACGCACTCGTGTATATAGGCACTTTTAGGTTTAAATTTATTCGCATTTTACACATTATCACACTTTATGGCTTCGTCACCTTCCAGGTGTCGGCCAGCACAGCTCGATTCGGAGTCCTAGTGGACATTCCGGGTCGGGGTGTGTCATATTTAAATTGAAAAATGTTGTTAAGATTAAGAAAACTTGCCAAATTATTTCCTATATCAACTTAGAAGAAAATTTTATGGAGTGAGAGAAACATGAATCAACCAAATTAATTACAAAACGTGGAAATTCTGAATTCTCATATAACAAGCGATGCATTTAGAATATTAGTCCCTTTTTTATTTTTTTTATTTTTGTAAAATCATTAATCCTCCTTCAAATCTACATATGTTTAATTAATTATGCACATTAAACATGATAGAGTTTATGTTTTTGTATGGGCATGTAGTTTTTATATTCGCAGATATCTGTATGTACTATGGGTATGTAGTTTTTATGAAGTATCAGAGCACAAATCAAAAGAAATCAATAAGATTATGATTTTTTCTCAGAAAGCATGAAGAAATGAAGGTGCGAAGAAGACGGAGAAATTTCTCCTTTTTGATTCTATTCAGCTATAACTGAATTGATACATCTAGAAGCATAGAGTTGGGGGGGGGGGGGGTGAGATATAGCCGTTTGAAGGCGCACTCACTCATCCACCTCACACACTCATGTGCACAACACATGCTCATTTATAAGTGAGTTGTTATACCATGTGACACACATCTAGCCTATTAGCTTTGATTTAATCTGAGCCCTACATTACAAACTAAGAACAACTATTTTGAATTACAAAGGAAAACAAGAAACTTGAATCAGAAGGCAGCTGTAAAGCTTAAACATCAACACTCGCATCTAAGCCGGCAGCTAATTTGACTCCTAGCATCTCTTTGAAATAATTGAACTTTTCCTTTGGTAGGGCCTTAGTCAAGATATCTGCCATTTGTTCTTCAGATTCGCAATAAATAAGCTCAATCTCATTTTCTTGTATTGCATCTCTGATGAAGTGAAATTTTCTGCTGATGTATCTTGTTTTCTAATGAAACATAGGATTCTTAGCAATAACTATTACTGAAGTGTTATCACACATTAGCACAGTAGGTTCAACCTGTTCTTCCCCGAAATCTTCCAAAACAAATCTCAATCACTTGGCCTTAGATGTTGCTTCAGCAGCGCTTACATATTCAGCTTCTGCAGTGGACAATGCCACTGTGTTTTGTTTGATTGATGCCCAAGAAAACACATCTGAACCAAGATTGAAAGCATACCCTGATGTGTTTTTCATGTCATCAATACTCCTAACCCAGTCACTGTCACAATATCCAATAAGAAGTGCTGACTTTCCTTTTACATATTCAATGCCAAAGTCCATAGTACCTTGAATGTATCTCAATACTCTTTTTGTTGTTCCCATATACTTCTTACTTAGACCATGCATGAATCTTGCCAAGAGACTAACACCAAACATTATGTTTGGTCTAGTGGCAGTAAGGTATAGAAGGCTTCCCACCAATTTCCTATACTTAGACTCATTTGCAGCTTCACTTCTATCATTCTTGCACAGCCTTTCATTTGCTACAAGTGGTGTTCCCACAGATTTACAACCCTTTAGTCCAAATTTCTCCAGCAACTTCATTGCATATTTCTTCTGATGTATGAAAATGCTCTTCTTGGTTTGTACAACTCCCATACCAAGAAAATGGTGCAGCAATCCCAAATCAGTCATCTCATAATGCTGCATCATGTCATTTTTAAATTTGTCAAGCATTGTGTCACTATTTCCAGTGTACACAATATCATCAACATACACAGAAACTATGAGAATCCCTGAGTTTTCACCCTGATAGAAGCATATTTAGGCGACTTACTTAGCTTGTTTTCGTGCATTTATATTGTTAATTCCTAGTTGTTTTAGTAGTTTAAGCCATTTTCGTGTGTTTTTAGGTTCATATGGCTAAGGAAGCAAAAAGATGCATTTTGGAGCATTTTGGAGCAAAATTGGGCTTGGAATGGATAGCATATGCTTGGAGCCAAAGTGTTGGACGAATTTGAAAGCCTTGTATGCACTTTGGACATAAAACAAAGGGCCTAGCCCAATCAAACAATCCTTTGAGCCATGCAAAACCTCTAGCCCAATCAAACAATCCATCAAAGCCATGCAAAACCACCATCCACACACACTTCACACAATTAACAACCATTGCCGGGCATTACATGCATTTTTAGCATTCCCCCTTTGAAATTCCACCTTCCCACTTCATCATTGCACCACATTCTCCCTCTTTTAATCCACATGCATTCATCATCATTCACCCTAGCTTCAGTTCACATGCAAACACATGCATTTCTAGCACAAAGAATCCCATTGCCGTGCTCTTCACTCCCATTTCCAGCTTTTCCCTTTGCATTTCCCTTTCATTTCAGCCACATGTATTCATCATTGCAGCCACCATTCACTCTTTAATCCACATGCATTCACACACACTTCACACAAACAACATTCACATGCAAACACATGCATTTCCAACCACAAACACATCCTAGCCGTGACTTCACATTGCATTTCCAGCTTTCCTTCTCTTTGCAGCCACACTTCCACATGCATTCCCTCTTTTCCTAGCTGTTTTTCCATCATTATTTCAGCCACATGCACTCTCAATCATAACAACCACATTCACTCTTAAACAATCATCCACATATTCTCCTATTCCCCCTATAAAAACCCATGCATTCATACACAAAAACACACCTCAAACCAACAAAAAAACTCATCCAATCATCCATTGCCGTGCACTTCCTTTCAATTTCAGCATTTCTCTTCCATTTCAACCACTCCCCAACCCTCCAAAACACTATCCAACCATTCCTCCATACAAACACCAATCCAAAACCTATCCTTACACCTTGTGCCGCAACAAAGAGGAGGAGAAGGGCCTAAACGTTCATACAATTCAAGTTTGAGTTGTTGGAATTTTTAGGTGTTTTTCTTTTCCTTGATTTCAATGATTAAATTTATGTATCTTTGTTTTGTACGTATGAGGAACTAAACCCGCCTTGGCTAAGGGTGTATTCGAAACCATGATTATATATGTGAAATAAGTTGATTACTTCCAGTTATCGTTGCATAAGTCGTGAATATAATTTGCTTAACCGTTTGACTTAGAACTTATTCTTGTTTGTTGATTGAGAGTGCACGCTTAATTTGCATGCTTGAATTTGGTGCTAGGATATAAGTTTGTTTCACCTAATCATTATGAATTTATATTCACAAGTAGTGAAGGTCGCTAGTCACGATCATGTTAAATAGATTCCTGGCAAGAGTATCATGCTTTTCATAGTTACAAATGCCTTGTCGATGCTTATGATTTCCAAAGAACGTAATGATTCTAACTTGTATCTTTATAATGCTGTTCATATAAAGAACTTGTTAGGAATAATTTGTTTGCGATGCATATTCATCCAATTCAATGATTCTAGGGAAATCTGAAGGTTAATTTAAGCGGACCTAATTAACTTGGAGTGTCGAGGTTCATAACTCAATGAATTGATAACTGGAAAGTGATTTGCGTTGCATATATTTCATGTGTGGAGAAGAACCCCTTAGCCATTCCATCATCCATTGGTCTATCATAATTTGTCTTACAATTTGTTTTCTTTACAATTTGTCCATTTAAATCAATTTCATCCAAACACAATCCCCCTATATTTTGTTTAGTCTTAGTCTTAATCTATCTTATTTTGAGTTTTGCATTCTTTGAGTCTAGTATAGTGTTTTAAACTTGTTTTTACGTTTTTGAGTCAAATCCAAGTGATTAACAATCCCTCCTAATCCCCGGTCCAGAACGATCCCTACTTACATACTTACTACAATTGACAAAAAGAGGGTTTAATTTGTGTGCGTATAATTCTCTCATCAAATTTTGGCGCCGTTGCCGGGGATTAGCAACTTTGCTATCTCTTGGATTGTTTTATTTTCTTTTGTTTTTATTTTATTCCAGATTCTTAATCTTGTTTTGTTTCTTGTTTTAGGTATTAGTTTATGACTCGGAGTTCTCATCCGATTCGTGAACATATCTCGGGCTTTGACGCCGATTTCGAGCGAGAATTGAGACGAAAGAGAAAGAACCCAGAACCTAGCGAATCAAGTGAAAGCTCCGAGTCCGTTTCTGAATCTGAAGAAGAGAAACCCAAGACAACAGTGGGTGAAGAAGAGATGGCAGCGGACAACCGAACAATCAAGGAGCTTTCCGCTTCGGGATTGGACAATGCCGCACCCCTATGTATTCAATATCCTAGGGCGGCTCTAGACAAGACCGATGAGTTCGAATTGAAGTCAAGCTTGCTGCATCATATTCCTAAGTACCATGGGCTGTCCATGGAAGATCCAAACAAGCATTTGAAGGAGTTTGAAGTTGTATGCTCAAGCATGACACCCATTAATGTTGATGGGAATATTTTGAAGATGAAAGCTTTTCCGTTCTCTCTTGTGGAAAAGGCTAAGGATTGGCTTTATGAATTGGCACCCGGGACAGTGACTTCTTGGGAAAGCATGAAGAGAGCGTTCTTGGAGAAGTTTTTCCCTACTTCAAGAGTCATTCTCTTGAGGAAGAAAATTAGCGGAACCCAACAAAGTCAAGGAGAATCTTTTCTGGCATACTATGAGCGTTTTAAAGCCCTTGTTGCATCATGTCCTCAACACCAAATGAAGGAGGAGCTTCTCTTTCAATACTTCTATGAGGGCCTTCTTCCCATTGAAAGGCAAATGCTCGATGCTTCGGCGGGAGGTGCATTGGTGGACAAAACTCCTATGGCAGCCAAGACCCTAATTGCAAACCGTGCTCTAAATGCACAACAATATGAAGGACTTGGGCAAAGGGACCCCCCACGGCAACAAGTGAATGAGGTAAGTTCTCTGCCCGAAATTCAATCCCAATTAGCTAACCTTACTTCTATTGTTTCTCAGTTGGCCGAGGGAATGAAGATTCATGGACCAAGTGTGTGTGGCGTGTGCTCTATGCAAGGACATGCCAACGATCAATGGCCTAAACTCATCGAGAATGGAGGATGGGAAAGCGCCAATGCCATAGGTTATCAAGGCCAAAATCAGCAAAGAAATGATCCGTACTCAAATACATACAATCCGGGTTGGAGAGACCACCCAAATTTCAGATGGAGAGATGCACAACAACCTGGCCAACAAAGTGGATTCCGACAACCCCCGGGTTTCTTTCCGAGTTTGATGGGGACATTATTAATTTTAATCTTTCTGAAACCAATAAATATCCAATTGAGGACCATTCTTGTTTTGCTATTGACATTGTGGATTCGTTGGCACAGATGCATTTGGATCAAATGAACGAAGATGCACTCGAGGTAGCCTTAGTGAACGAAGAAACCCGGGGGTTGTCGGAATCCACTTTGTTGGCCAAGTTGTTGTGCCTCTCTCCACCTGAAATTTGGGTGGTCTCTCCAACCCGGATTGTATGTATTTGAGTACGGATCATTTCTTTACTGATTTTGGCCTTGATAACCTATGGCATTGGCGCTTTCCCATCCTCCATTCTCGATGAGTTTAGGGCATTGATCGTTGGCATGTCCTTGCATAGAGCACACGCCACACACACTTGGTCCATGAATCTTCATTCCCTCGGCCAACTGAGAAACAATAGAAGTAAGGTTAGCTAATTGGGATTGAATTTCGGGCATAGAACTTACCTCATTCACTTGTTGCCGTGGGGGGTCCCTTTACCCAAGTCCTTCATATTGTTGTGCATTTAGAGCACGGTTTGCAATTAGGGTCTTGGCTGCCATAGGAGTTTTGTCCACCAATGCACCTCCCGCCGAAGCATCGAGCATTTGCCTTTCAATGGGAAGAAGGCCCTCATAGAAGTATTGAAGGAGAAGCTCCTCCTTCATTTGGTGTTGAGGACATGATGCAACAAGGGCTTTAAAACGCTCATAGTATGCCGAAAAAGATTCTCCTTGACTTTGTTGGGTTCCGCTAATTTTCTTCCTCAAGAGAATGACTCTTGAAGTAGGGAAAAACTTCTCCAAGAACGCTCTCTTCATGCTTTCCCAAGAAGTCACTGTCCCGGGTGCCAATTCATAAAGCCAATCCTTAGCCTTTTCCACAAGAGAGAATGGAAAAGCTTTCATCTTCAAAATATTCCCATCAACATTAATGGGTGTCATGCTTGAGCATACAACTTCAAACTCCTTCAAATGCTTGTTTGGATCTTCCATGGACAGCCCATGGTACTTAGGAATATGATGCAGCAAGCTTGACTTCAATTCGAACTCATCGGTCTTGTCTAGAGCCGCCCTAGGATATGGAATACATAGGGGTGCGGCATTGTCCAATCCCGAAGCGGAAAGCTCCTTGATTGTTCGGTTGTCCGCTGCCATCTCTTCTTCACCCACTGTTGTCTTGGGTTTCTCTTATTCAGATTCAGAAATGGACTCGGAGCTTTCACTTGATTCGCTAGGTTCTGGGTTCTTTCTCTTTCGTCTCAATTCTCGCTCGAAATCGGCGTCAAAGCCCGAGATATGTTCACGAATCGGATGAGAACTCCGAGTCATAAACTAATACCTAAAACAAGAAACAAAACAAGATTAAGAATTTGGAATAAAATAAAAACAAACGAAAATAAAACAATCCAAGAGATTAGCAAAGTTGCTAATCCCCGGCAACGGCGCCAAAATTTGATGCGAACATTATGCGCACACAAATTAAACCCTCTTTTTGTCAATTGTAGTAAGTATGTAAGT